GATTGAAATATTTCAATGGTAAAAGAAAAGAAAATAGCATGACTCAAGCCTGAAGAGGCATACATGATAAATGCTGAAGCTCTTAGGTATGTTATGTCAAGGAAAAGCTGGTCAAGAATAATCTGCCTTTAAGCTTGATGAACACATCAGTTCTATACAAAAGCTTTCAGGGCTGCATTTGCTGAACAACAGGGAACTCAAGGGCCCTTGGCAAGATGAGTCACACACCACCAGAGCAGCACCCATCAGCTGGGGACAAAGCAACTGCAAGTTTAAGCACCCTCCTTTCTACTGTTCCAGTAAACTGTGCTTTGTTTTTTTTTCCTGTATACAGTTATGTGGTTTAGTTTTTTTAAGTTATGTTGTCTTGTAGTCTCGATAACAATACTCTATCCTGGACAACACAGGACATTTTGCAACGGCATGGAATTTCAAAAACAAAAGCCAAATATCATCTGTGTCTGATTTTCCTACTTGCTAAGGAAGACCGCAGCTCATCTATCTTATCAAACCTAACTTGTTCTCTTATGCATAGAAGAGAACACACACACCACACATGTTCACACACACACAAACACACACCACTGTCTGCTTAATACCTAGGTTTTAACTCAGAAACTAGGGAATCTTAGAGAAGGTTTAACCTAAACTCTAGGTCTTCCATTTCCTTTTTCTCTATGTAATATGTTAGTAGAAGCACTATGTAAATGTGAAAAACCTCAACGTTCTATGGCCCACCACTCTCTTGCTGTTCAGTAAATAATCATTAATTACACATAAGGTAAAACACCCGACAGAGCCAGACTGGAGAGTGTCCAATGAAAGTAAGTTATTTTTTATTATCTTTGAATTATCAAAAATTAATACAGCAATTCACCTTTGAAAGCCACAGAGAACAAGGATGAGCTCATACACTCTGGGCTTAGATCATCTCAATTCCATTTGCTAAAATCTCAGTGATTTTGTATGCAACAGACACGACCCTGCTTCCAAGACTGTGCCCACAAAGACATGTATTAAGACATGTGAGCCTAAGAATAATCCCTTCAAGTTGACAGCATACTTACACCAAGCTCCAGTTTATAGGTAGATATTTTCAATAACCTCCTCTGTAAGTTACTGTCCAGTTCTGATCTACTATGTGTTATAACAGAGGAAAACAATCTAAAGCAAAGATTGGTGAATTGGTTTCACAAGGACCCCCAAGGTAATTCTTCAAGTCCCTCACTAAGTCAACTGGATTCTAAACAGTGGAAATATTTTAAGAGTAAGAAGCTTAGTCCTAGTCTGTCTTGCTTTAATGAATCTCAATGAAAACAAGAATGTGGGCAAATCAAGTTAAGTTTTTAAACTTTTAAAAATATGAAAATTGATGTATTTTCTAAGAAAAACAAATCTCAAGGCCACTGGATATTAATATTAAACTTGGCTAACATAGTAATTTGTCTTATACTTTCAATTCAACCAATCTATTTTGTATGTGGCACATACATATTTATATGTTATGAATGCATACCTACATGACTATATATCACAATTTGCTTTTTAAAGGCATTTTTTTTATTATTTGAAAGGTAGAGAGACACACAGAGGATTGAGAGAGAGATTCCGCCCACAACAGGCAGACCTCTGCCAAGCTAAATCCAGGAGCCTAGATTGCAATTCTGATCTCCTGCACTGGCAGCAGGGACCCATTCAGGACACCAAGGCAATTTTATTTATTATGTAATTTGTGACCCAATACTAAAGAATGTTCACAATTGCAAATATGAGAGATTCATTTATAAAATAACAAATATATAATTTAATCCATAATTATAGTACTTAAGAGTAAAAATGTTTTAAACCCTTCAATAAACAGATACCATAAAATGTCTTATAAAAATGTATCCACTGATCTATTCCTCTTCCAAGTACTGTACATAAAGTCAATGTCTCAAAATAAAAACAGGTGAGGTGAATAATTATATTAGTTAAAGAAGTGTTCATCTTGTGTATGACAAACTTGTTTGGTAATATCTCGAAACAGCTATCTGTTTCTCAAGATTATTTTCAAATTAAAATTTAATTTAAAACTTTGCTAAGAAATGCCTTGAACTCCTTAGAGAAATGGTCTAAACTAAATGCAAAGAAACTGTCATTAAAGTCAACTAAAGCAATGTTTTGTGTTTTTGCCCCTAGAGAACAGAAACACAGAATTTCTTATTAGGCTAATATAATGTGTTTGTACTAGTTTAATGAGTTGCTTTTGCTATGTCAAATTTTATGAACCCATTTATAAATAGATATTACTTTTTTGAAAACATTACACCAAAAACTGGTCAGAAATACACACAGTAAACAAATATCTAAAATACACATTTTGTATACCATGTTGGGTGAAATTATTTATGGAGCTATTAAAAATATTGATTTCCATATAATATCTTAAGAATCAAATATACTATCATTTTATATATTAACATAGTTGTAATATTTCTACATCTAAAGTGAGAAAACATTCAATTATATTATGTTATTGCAGTGCTTGTTTCCATGGCAACTGCTTCACTCTGCTGTGGTAGTAACCATAGTTTCACAGCCTTAGTGAGGCCTGCAAAGTACATAAGGAATGCTCGCATTGTTCACTATGAAATCCAGACTCAGCATCTCAGAACGGTAACTCTCTCTCAAGAAGGGAGTCTCAGAGCGTAAAGTGTAAGATGTGTCTTCTGATGCCCATTCCACATTCTTTCAAGTATATTGCATGTCCCCAACTCTTCTATAGAAATCGATAATTAATAGTGCACACAATACAAACCTCAGCTAACGCAACTGAGCATACCTCAAGGGTTGATTGAATTAAGCAATTTTAAAAGTGAAATCATGGTTTCTATGATTTTTCCGTATTAAAAATAACAATATTATTGCATTTGGGGCAATAATCACAAGAAGTCTTTTTGCCATTGCTATAGAACATCAAAACAATTTCTTTAAAAGAAGAGGTAGTATACTAAGGGAGTGATTTCTGTCTTTTTAATTTGCATTGAATTTTACATTAATTTTTTTTTTTAATTCAGGAATTGATTTTAGACAAAATTGTTCAGGAATTCATTTGAGACAAAAGTATTCTCTTAGGTAATAAAACCCTAATGATATTAATGAAATATTTAGTAATATCTAGGATATTAATTTCATTAATTTAATTTGTAATAAGAAATAGAAATACTAAGAATAAGAAATATGAAGCACTCTAAAAGAATTTAACACAGGCACTAGGCCCAATGATGAGTCATGAAAATGTGATTTGTCTGGATTGTGATTTGGTACACATAAATGTAAAAATTTAATTTTAAATAGTCAATGCACAAGTAAAACAATCTCATATAGACTATATGTTATACAGACTATATGTCAGAATGAAAATGCATACTAATATGTACTATATGCATATCATTAAAATTAACATCACCTGCTTGTTTTAATTTGCAAATGTGGCTTCTTCATATTTAACATGCATATGCAATCCACTTCAGCACTAGTCTAAATGATCCATATGCTATTCTCTTATGAAAAATAATGATTCCCTGTTGCCTCACCTTCAGAATCTGTCCTACATTATCAACTGCAGTCTTCACCTTGAACCCTTTTCAGATCTCCTCTATTAGAAACTAAATTCTCTTCTCTAAATTCTGATAGCATTTTTCGTTTCACCCTGTATCTTCTAATGCTGCTGTCAAGATTAAGTTACTGACACATAGGTCTATGCATGGTTGTCACCTGCAAAACAACCATCATGGAATTTTTGGTAAAGCATCAGAAAATTTCTGTGAGGACCATCTTTTGCTCAGATGAAGCTGTCTCAAGACGTCATCAATTGCTTGTAATGTATACATACAGTACAAACTCTGGACATTCCTGATGTTGGTACCAAAGATATCATCCGAGTTTGCTCTTTGGAACCTACCATGTCTCAGTTTTCCTACTTGAGATCATTAAATTTCACTGGTGTAATCTCTCAAAGTGCCCAAGCTGTTAAATAATTTTATAAAGTTTAGAATCTCTGAATCCAAAATGACACATAGAGACAGGCTTGTATTCTTCCAGTACCTCTCCTGACTTTCATGTTCAAGTATTTTTTCTGTTGTGTAGCTGATTCTCCTGTTTCTGATCATATACCTATTATACAGACCAACTGTGAATCAAGGATTATTTTAGTTCTGTAACTCATCTTTATTTCCAATATATCATTTTTCAACGTTTTAATTTTTAATTACAAAGCAGCATGACAGAATTTGCAGTTTTACTGTGCCTGAAATATTTTTTTAATTTATTGATTTGTATTGGAAAGACAGACTTCCACAGAGAAGAGAGAGAGAGAGAGAGAGAGAGAGAGAGAGAGAGAGAAACAGAGAGAAAGCATGTTATTTAACTTCATAGTGTTGCTAATTTCTTTTTTCTCCCTGATGTTGATTTTGTTTTGTGGCTCTTCATTTAAGGGGATGTATAGTAGCTGTGTAATGGAGACTGTCATATCTAGGAACATGTCATTTAACTTTATGGTATTGTAAATTTTTAGTTTTCTTTCTATTGTTTTCTTTCTATTATGACTTTTCATTTGAGGGGATGTACAGTAGCTCTGAAATGGAGACTAACATCCAGATGTGAGGATGCAGTGTGGTATGCATTTCTACTTCCAGACAAAGATGGACTTACAATGAAACTGTTTACTATTATCTTGACAATAGGATGCTGGACTCTCTGCCATTGTCCATGCCTGCAATGACGGACATATGACTGTGTATGAAGAACTATACTTTGGTAATGATATAGAGAAACTAGGTGGGGGCTTGGGGGAATTGGGAAGGGGATAGGGGAAATCACAGGAGCCTATGGAACAGTATCATAAAATGATAATAATAAGAAAAATTTTAAATCATTAAATATATATATATACATATATATTTCAGAAGGAGGTCTTTTCAGAATATAGTATATTTTCAGAATAAGGATAGTCTTACCAGTTGAGTGTCAGATACTGTAGAAGATGGTGAAGAGAGATTTGCCTGTAAAATATAAACATGATGTTTATTTAGAAAATCAGAATTTAGTAAAATTCTGTTTATGCTTATTATTTTGACACCCCTTCACTATTAAAGTCATAATGCCTGCTATGGGATTCTGAAAATATACAATAAGGAGGAAAATATCACATGCCACCAAAATTTTTATTTTTAACACTTTTGGTATATTTTCCTCAGGTATTTTTGGTATATATTTTTATTAAGTTCATATATTAGTAAATACAAAATTTTATATTTCCTCTTCCTTTCATTTTTTAACTTGAAACCAAAATTTTTCATTGTTACATAGTATTTCTTATTTTTAATTAAGCATATTTTCATAATTGATTTTTACATTAAAATAACACACATTAAAATAACAGATTTTTAAAAGATCTTTACCTAGAAAGATTTTAATGACATTTTCATGATTAAGGAATAGGAAATATTTTGTTTTAAAACTGTATAACTTAAGGATCAGGTTATAGGTAAGAACATAAACTAGAAGATAGTCTTTTCAGTAAATGCTGAATATCCACATATAGAAGAATTAAACCACACTCCATCTCCATTACACATCAAATTAAACTAAACATGAGTTAAAGACAAAAATATAAGGCTTGAAATTTTCTAACTACTACAAGAAAACAGAGAAATCATTTCAAATCATTAAAAAGAGCAAGAGTTTTCTGAATCAGAGCCAAAACCCACAAGAAACAAAAGCAAAAATAAACAAATGCAATTTTATCCAACTAAAGAGCTTCTACACAGCAAAGGAAATAACCTATTGGGGAGACAATCTATAGAATGACATAAATTGTTTGCAAGCTACACATCAGAAAAGAAGTTAATCTCACAAATACCTAAGAGACTCAACTAACTCAGTCATACGAAAAATAATTCTATTCAAAATGGCCAACAGAATAAAGCAGACATTTCTGAGAGACAACAGGTACGTGAAACAGTGCTTAACATCAGTAACCATCAGGTAAAGCAAACAACAATCTCTGACAGATTGTCAAAAGCATCTAACACATTTTCAGTTGCGATCGCAAGGAATGCTCCTCTATTCTGGTCTTCTCTCTTCTATGAGACAAGCTGTCATATAGACTTAAACAGTGTGGGGAGAAAATAATCAGCATTCAAATGCAAATCAAAGCTACAGTGAGTTATACTACATTGCAGTTACATTGATTGATTATTACCAAAAAGACAAACGATAGTGGGTGTTGCCAAGGATGTGGAGAAAAGGAAACATTGGCATACTGTTGATGGAAATAAAAAGCACTGCAGCTATTGTAGAAAACAGTATGTAAATTCTTCAGAAAACTAAAAATATGACTACCATATGATCCAGTAATCCCATACCTGGGTTTACATCCAAGGGAAATGAAATCTGTTCCCCAAAGGGACATCTACATTTCCATATTTATTGCAGTGCTAGTCACAATAGCTGAGAAATGCAGAAGTCTTGTGTCCAGTCACTGAAAAATAACTGAAGAAACTGTGACCCATTGACCCAATAGAACATGATTCAGTCATGAAAAAGGATGAAATTTGCCATTTGCCACAAAACAGATGGCACTGGAAGTGATTATATTAAATGAAGTTATCCAATCAATAGAAAAAAAGTATCACATGATCTCATTCACTAGTGGACTCTAACAGCAACAACAAAAACACATATAGTTTGTAAAGGACAATAGTGATAACCAAAGACTGGGGAGAAGCAACTGGAGGAAGGGATAAGGAATTAATGGACAGTATGTTATAGATTGAGGAAGGGGACTGAGGTTTCCATTGCACAGTAGGGTGGCTATAGATAATGTCAATGATGGTCAGGATATGGGGGAAAATGTATCCTACTCCACTGTTAGTGGGAGTATTGTCTAGTGAAGCCACTTTGCAAGTCAGTGCAGAAAGTGCTCAAACAACTCAAAATTGATCTATAATGTGACACAGCCATACAACTCCTGGGAATATATCCAAAGGTAATGAAATCCGCATGTGAGAGAGTAACCTGCAATGCTATATTTATAGCACAATTCACAATAACAAAGACATGGAAACAACCTATGTGCCCCATTAACACATGAACTGATAAAGAAATCATGATACATCTGCCCTATGGAATGCTACTCAGCCATAGAAAATGAAATCCTACCATTTGTAAGAAACTTGTTCCAAATGGAGACCATTAGGCTTAGTGAAATAAGCTAGTCCCAAATGGACAAATACCACATGTTCTCACTGATATAAAATGACTTTTAGACAAATTACAAATTAAACATATATAGGTAATCAAATATGTACATATACCCTCCCAAAAGAACTATACAATGAGACCAGCAGACTAAGAAATAGAGATACATTGCTGTACATGTCACTAATTTTGAATAAAAAGTAGCATTTACATTTTGAAACATGTAAATATAGCCAACTTCCTTGTTTCTTGAGATGTTATTATTGTAAGGATAATATGAGCTGAGCCCTAACCTCATTAAACTCGTGTTTTATTTTGTTTTTTTCTTTAATTTTTAGTTAAGAATGATACGTATGTTGTATGTGTGTATATGTTACATGTATGCATGATATGTATGTATGATATTGTAATGTATGATTACTATAAAATATGTTCATCAAAATGTTAAGGGTATTTCAGAGTATTACCGACTAGTTATCATGTATAGCAGATTTCAAGAACTTAGCTTGCTTAACTAGAACCTGCTCTAGGCTCCTGCTGTGGAACAGTGGGTAAAGTTGCCACTTTCATTCCTGAAGCCCATATGGATACTGGTTCCCAACCTAGCTACCCTGCTTCTGACCCAGATCCCTGCTAATCTGTCTAGGAAAGAATCATAAGATGGTCCAGTTGCTTGGGCCACCGCACCCAGTGGGAAACTCAGGAGAGATTCCTGGTACAGGCTTCAGACTAGCCCAGTTTTGGCCACTGTAGTCATTTGGGGAACGAACCAAAAGATGGAAAATACTTCTCTGTCTCTTCCTCTCTTTTTATAACTCTACATTTCAAATAAGATACATACATATTTTTCAAATGAAAGAAAAGCCATGTTCATTAATTAGTAACTTATCCTCCCTCCTCCCATCATTTCCTTCTTGTTGATATAAACACTATAGTGTATTTTGAGAATGTACTCTGTTGGATGTACCTGGTAATGTTGTATCTTGCTATCATTGTATAGTGAGGTTTCAACTTGACACAGAATTCTAGGCTACTAGCATCTATCAGCCCTTCAAGCAAATTACCCCTCTGGCTCTGATTTCTGTCACTGCTGTCAGTCCAAACACATTCACACAGCGAAGCATCTACTTCACATTTGACAATATACTAACATATTCTTCATCACACTTGTAATTTTTCTATGATATGCCTGCTGGTGGTTAACACAGCTGCAAGGAGAGGCGATGAAGACAATATTGGTGAAAGGCTATCAAGTTTCAGTTACCTCAGAGGAACAAGGTTCAATGACTACACTTCATGGTGAACACAGGTTATGATAATACACAGTATATTTTATAGGTTTATTTATTTTATTTGAAAGAACTACAGAGACAGGGAAGTAGAGACAGAGACAATGATATCCTATCCAATGATTCACTCCCTAAATGGTTACCACAGCCGCGCTGGGCCCATCTGAAGCAGAGATCCAGAAGCACCCACCAAATTTCCCACAGGGATGCAGGGGCCTAAGGTCTTGGGTCATCCACTTCTACTTTCCCAGGCAACTAGCGGACAGTCGTACTGGAAATGGAGCAGTGGAGACTAGAAAGTGCACTTATTTGGAATGCTGGCACCACAGACAAAGGATTAGCCTACTTGCCATTGCACTAGCCCCACTAAAATTGATTCTTAATATTTCCACTGTAGAGTGTATATATATGGGATGATGGATAATGATAGCTTGACTGAATATTTCTGTATTTTATGTGGATCAAATTTCATATTGTAATCCAATAAATATTTGTCACTTAGAAATATGTAAAATGAACACTCCAAAATCTTAAAAAAGAAAGAGCAGTCAAAACTCATGGTAGCAAAATCCTCTTATTTCATAGAAAATCCATTAAAGAATTAGATAAAATAAATCAAAAGGGTTAAAGACAAAGAAAGCAGTGAATATGTGAAATCTACAGGGAGATAAGCTGCTACACAACGTCACCATTTGTGCCGAGCCAGCTGTTGAGAAACCATTCCCGTCTTCCAAAGACTTGATCCCAGAGGCACATAATGGACTTCTGCCATCACCATCATTTGCTACCTAGAACAGCTTTTCCCCATTCTTGATACACATGTGTCCTTTCATTGGCATCACTCCTCCAGACACCTTCTTGAGAGCTGGGGCAAAATCAAGCTGGATTAGACCAAACGAGTCACACAGTTGTCTTCTCCTTCTGGCCTTTGCTACTTGTGGATATTTTTTTTTCCTTCTTAGCAATAATGTTCCTCTCACTGAACTGCAACAATGGGTTCAAAAACAGTAGGATTTCTCTTCTCCCTTGCTCTGCTTACTCTAACTGTCCTGAGTCTCCTTTTTTCAAAACTCAAAATTCTGACCTAGGACAATGTACTAATTGATTTATGTTATTTGTCACAGGCCAGATTGATGGATAAGGAGGCAGAAAGCCAGTGTTCAATATGTTAACTGGGCACCGAATGCAGTTGGCATCCAGAACATATAAAATTACAAAATGATAAGAACCTGGATACTCTCAAATTTATGATCTTCTCACTGTTTTTACATAAGGCACTACTCACAAGAATGAATATCATGTTAGGTATAAACATTAGGCATACAGGCAAGAAAACTATATTGTGATGGATTACATCTTCCTTGCTTTGTAGCATTATTCTTACTGTCTGTAGACATTACCTTGGATGAATATCTCACTATACCACATTTCTATTTGTAATTTACCCGCCAAAAGAACTAAATATAAAAGTCTATTTAAAATTATTTTAAAAATGTAACTGGGGGGGGGGGTTCACACTGTGTCATGCAGACTAATCCTCTGCTCTATGGCACCAGCATCCCATACGGTTGTCAATTCATGTCCCAGCTGCTCAGCTTCTAACCCAGCTCTCTGATTATGGCCTGGAAAAGCATTAGAGGATGGACCAAATCCTTAGGACCCTGCACCCATGTGGGAAACCTGGAAGAAATCCCTGGACCCAGACTTTAGATCAGCTCAGTTCTGGCAATTATGGCCACTTGGGGAGTGAACCAGAGGAGGAAAGACCTTCTCTCTCTATCTCTCTTCACTCTATAAAATTTGTCTTTCAAGTAAAAAATAAATACATCATGAAAACAGTTTAACTTTTTTAAAGATTTATTTTATTATTTTTTTTTTTTTGGAAAGGCGGATATACAGAGAGGAGAGACAGAGAGGAAGATCTTCCGTCCAATGATTCACTCCCCAGGCGGCCGCAACAGCTGGAGCTGAGCCAATCCAAAGCCAGGAGCCTCTCTGGGTCTCCCACGCAGGTGCAGGGTCCCAAAGCTTTGGGCCGTCCTCAACTGCTTTCCCAGGCCACAGGCAGGGAGCTGGATGGGAAGTGGAGCTGCCGGGATTAGAACCAGCACCCATATGGGATCCCGGGCATGCAAGGCAAGGACCTTAACCACTGCGCCATCGCGCCGGGCCCAAACAGTTTAACTTTTAAAAGTTTAGAAATACAAAGAGAACAGATCTCATATATTTTTTAGCTACAGTCCTAAGACAATAACCATGCATCTTTCTGTCCCCTTCTCCCTCCTCCAATGCCCCTCCTTTACATTTCACTAATATTTGCAAAACATAATTTAATCCACTTTATAATCACAGGATTAATTCACCACTACCAATAACATTCAACAAATAAAAACAGGAAATCCAGAGTTCCTTAGGAGTAAGACAGAATTGACCTGGGTTGTGCTGCAACGCAAAGGGTCTTAGACCTCCACATCATAAATCAGAATCTGGTATGAGCACCTATTCTAGTTCTAATCCAACTCCTCGCTAATGTCCCTGGGAAACCAGCAAAATATGGCCCAATTGCTTTGGCCCCTTTCACACTCACAGGAGATCCAGGAGTCCCAGACTCCTGGATTCCATATGGCCTGACACAGACCACTACAGCTATAATCTTTGGAATGAACCAGCAAATGGAAGATCTCTTACTGTCTGTCTTCCTGTTCTTTATGCAATTCTATCTATTTTATCTATCAATCTATCTTTCAAATACAAAAAATAGAGAAATATGTGAAATGTGTTCACTTTATATAAATAAGATTAAATCTCAGTTAAATCTCTTCTTAAAAAGATAAAGAATGATAACTCCAACTTTTCACGCATATAAATCACAGAATAGGTGGACAAAAGGGATTGTTGACAACACGGTTCATATGGTCATAAAAAGAGATGACAGGTTAGATCTGAAAGGAAGTTTGAAATAGAGTGCCTACATATATAACGAAGTCTAAAGGGCAAATCGAAATGATATTAGACATGTGGACTGTTTCATGCAATCCCTTCTCTTCCTTGCACTTTAGCAGAATCATGTCGTTACCTTCAAGTACCTCAGCAACCACTTTTGTACAGCCATAAATTTAAAAACCCTCTGAATGAAAACAATAAAATGAGAATAAAACAGGAGTAGAATTTCTTCCTAAGTTGTTCATATCTCTTCCAGTAATTTATCAGACTTTTGGACTCATGCTATGGCAGCAGATTCTAACCTGGTGCTGAATATTAGCCACCTGTTTCCTAAGATCTATGACTGTATTAGTGCTTTTCATCTCCAAAATGCTCCCACAAAACAACAAAGGGAAGATATAAACTAGCTAAGTTGGAAATGATAAACTTTATTTGAATATGTTTATATTAATTAAGTATGGCCTATTTTTCAATATATTATGATATGTTTAAAACAGCACACTTGCATTGTAGTGACATTTTTGTGTCCCTTGGTAGAAGAGCTCTCTGACATGTTAAATTTAATAAATCTTTAAAAATTTGATGTTACCTGTAATAATTTAGTATTTGATAATCCTGTCTTTTTTATTTCCCTGGCACTTTAAAAATTCATGAAATTAGTTTATAAAAAGAGTTGTTATCAATAGAATATGATTTCAACTAAAAATTTCAATAAATTGTCAATAGTCCCAATGACTAGCCCTGTTTTCTAAAGTTATTGCTAATTAAGAAAGTGTACTTTGACTTTAAAAATGTGAATGAAATGAAGTCATATTGGTAGCAGTATTAACAAAGACAAATGTAATTCAAGAATTGTTTTTTTCCTCTTAAACCCTTAAGTGAATATAGAGTGGAGAAGATATTTTATTCAAATATCATATTTTACTTTATGTAAAACTTTGTTTTAAAACAAGTAACATGAAAAATCATCACTGATATTTTCTTTGATATATTGATAAATCAGTGTGTAAGCAACTGATTTTAAATATTGGAGATAGTAAAGCACTATTAGTTTAGGTGTGAATTTGATCAAACATGAACTCTTTTAAACTTTATACTGAACTTTCAAATAATTTAGACTCAGAGTATAAATACAAATGGATAAAACAGTTAAAGAACACAAACTTAGTAATTTCACCTAATCCATTACCTGCCTTTGGTAACTCAAATTAAGGTAGAAATGTACAAATTTCAACGATGGCACAGTATAGGACATACACATCATTGCTCCTTACTAGTGCTGATGATAACAAAACTACATCCTGGAAAATATAGTGTGTGCTGAAAAACAGATAATTTACTGTTCTGATTTAGGCTGAAATAGAAACACTTGCTTAGCGGAAATTCTGTCTCTATTAGAGTATGAGTAGTCCAAAGCAAAAATGGATCACATAAGGGAAACTGAGTTAGTACCTAAGTAGCACAAAGAATAAATGGAGCTGGATGTGCGTGTCCAAGATACATTAAGCTGTTTTCTCACAGTTATTTCAATTATGTGAGCTCATAACAAATCCATTACTAATATATTTTTTCTTATAACTAACTTAACAGACTACAGTTTAAATCTAGTAGGACAACTATTAATGTTGATTAAACTGGTAAATCCATTGAAAACATAAATCTTAATTCTTCAAGTATATGAGTACATTTTTACAACAGAACACTACAAAAATGAAAATCCTAATCTTTGATTATAAAAAAATTAAGGCAGTTGTTGTGTTTCTATTAAACCAATTACTTGATGAGTTCAGATCGTGCTTTGCCCCTGATTAATCTAATTTTTCATCACTGGACCTATTATACATTTAACCCCCTTCTACTTTTCAAAACATTAACTGGATGTGAGGGCGATCTGGCTGCGACATCTGTCACCCCATTGATCGCCAGGGTTGATTCGGCTGATCTGGCTGGCTAGGCGGGTGTCCCCTTCCTCCCTCACCGCTCCATGTGCGTCCCTCCCGAAGCTGCGCGCTCGGTCGAAGAGGACGACCATCCCCGCTAGAGGAGGACCGGTCTTCGGTCAAGGGTATACGAGTAGCTGCGCTCCCCTGCTAGAACCTCCAAACAGACTCTCAAAACATTAACTAATTCCACTTAAAGGACTATAAAATTGACATCAGCACTTACATATAATTACAAATGTACTTACATATTTCGTTTCTCGACCGGCTGCTCTCGGAAGAGTTGTAGAAGTCTATGTGAGAAAAAAAAATAATAATTATAATTCTGAAGTAATCATATAAATAATAAAAGAAAAAGCTGAGAGTTTTTAAATTATTTTTCCTTCTTTTTCATACAATACTCCCTTTCACTACTGTTGGAACTCATAAGATAATTTGACAGGGTGGCAGGATAAAAAAAATTAATGAACATAAAATGATGGCACTAGTATGCATATGAAATAAATCACAAGTACAGTCCCTTTGAAAATAACCAAAAGAAATCTCAAATATCTTGGAATCGACCTAAAGGCATGAAAGAACTTTATAAAGAAAATTACACAACATTAAAAGAAAAAATAAAAGAAGGGGTTAAGTGATGGAGAAACTTACTATAGTCCAGGATTGGCAGGATCTACATCATCAAAATGTGCATATTACCAAAAGTAACATACAGACTGATTGTGATTCCAATAAAAATCCCAACAACATTTTTCTCAGAAATAGAAAAGATACAAAAGTTCATCTGGAAACACAAGAGACCATGAAGAGACAAAACTATTCCAAAGAATAAACTTTTAAAGCTAGAGGAATCACAATTTCAGATCTCAAGACATACCACAGGGCAGTGGTTATCAAAACAGTCTGTTACTAATCCAGAAACAGAGAAGAAGATCAACAGAACAGACTAGAAACTTCAGAAGGGAGCTCACACATGCACAGCCAACTAATCTTAGACAAGACAAATGAAAACAATCCAGGGCAAAGGTCTGGTCTCTTCAGTGAATGTGATTGGGACAATTGGATGGCAGTCTGCAAAAGAAAGAAGCAAGACTCCCACGTGTTACCTTGTACAAAAATCAGCTCTAAATGGATCAAGGACCTAAATCTGCATCCAGAAACCATCCAACAATTAGAGGAAAATACAAGAATCACTCTCCAAGATACAAGAATTGGGAAAGTCACTCAAAGCACAAGCAAAGCCAAAATAAACAAATGGAACTACATCAACCTGAGCAGCTTCTGCACAGCAAAGGAAGACAATCAATAAAGTGAAGAAACAACAAACAGAATGGGAGAAAATCTTTGCACATACACAACTGATAGGAGTCTAATATCCAATATTTACAAAGAGCTTCAGACGCTCAGCAACTGCAAAACAGAGAGTCCTGTGAATAAATGAGTGAAGGAAATGAACAGACATTTTTCAAAAGAACAAATTCAAATGGCTAATAGATATATGAAAAAATGCTCAGGCTCCCTGGCAATCAGGTAAATACAAATGAAAATCACATTGAGGTTCCACCTAACACCAGTGAGATTGGCCTACAATCAGAACTCTACTAACACCTGCTGGCATAGATGTGGGAAGAAACTTCACCAACCTGACTGTTGGGTGGGAGTGTAGGCTAGTAAAACCACCATAGACATCAGTATGGAGAATGCTAAGAGAACTGAAAATTAATCTGCTGTATGACTCAGCTCTCCCACTTCTGGGAATAATTCAAATAAAAAGAAATCTGCATATGAGAAAGGGATCGATACTCCTGTGTTCACAGCAGCACAATCCATAATAGTAAAGACATGGAAACAACCCGGATGCCCATCAAAATAGGAGTAGATAAAGAAACAAAGGCATATGTATTCCATGGAATAATACTCCAACATTAAAAAGAATGAAATGCTACCATTTGCAATCAAATGGTCTCGATTTGAGACCATTATGCACAGTGAAATAAGTAAATCCCAAAAAGATAAATATCAGATGTTCTCTCTGATGTAAGGCAAATTTCTTGCAAAATACAAGATCAATACCTTTCAATACCTTTTTTGCTACATCTCTTGAGCTTTGATAGTTTTGTTTTTAATAAAGCTTTTTATTAACTTTGTGACTGACGTATACATCTCACAGTAGCATCATTTGCTTCAAGAAGGTTTTTATTTTCTTTTTTATTTTTTCAGTGGCACATTGGTCATTCAGTAGCATGTTATTTAACTTCATGTTGTTGTTATTTTTCTATTTTTTCCTGCCATTGTCCAAACCTACAATGTCAGGATACACATAAATAGCAGAATGATGAACTTGTTACTGATTATGAAGGACTATACTATTGTAATGATATAGGAGAAATCAGTGGAAAAGGTGGGGCTTTGGGAAGGAGGTGAGGGAATCCTAGCACCTATGAAACTGTATCATAAAATAATAAAATAAACACATTTAATATTTTAAAAATATATATATTATTTATCTATATCATCTTATTATTCCTTTCATGGCTGTTATCCACTAGGTATTAGCTCAATTTACCTAATTCTTTGATGATTTTGACTCACAGATCATAATAGTTCCTTCCTCATATTTTTCCATAATTTCTGGCTATTTAAAAATTCACATAGAAATATTCATCCTCTCAATTCCTTGAGTTGCCTAATTTCAAAGTAATATCAACCACTCTTTTAAATCACCCATTCTCAACACCATTCCTGGATTTTATCTTTGCTAATAAAACAGGAGCAATAACAACATTTAATTTTAGATGCTCAAATATCACTACACCATCTCCTGCCAGGTACCTTCATCTCTCTAGTACCTAGCTAGAGAGCTACTATTTATGTAGCTACTGCAATGTAGCAAAAACTTTGTAGGATTTTCAAACCATTCACCCTCACCAGGTTTTATCTGGCTTTGTTTCATTTTGGCTTACTTATTTTGCATATCCTCAACAAATTTAGAATCTTTCCTCTTGTATCTCTCCCTTTCTTGTGATGAATCATATTCAATAACAACAATGAAAAACTCAATTCATTTTTGTTAGTTTTTTTAACCTGAGGAGGAAAACATGGCTGGGAAACTCAAGCTATTTTCATTTTACATTAATGATTATCAACTTCAAATATGGACTCAATACTGCCTAGTAAGGATCAAACTTTTTTTATGTATTCACTTTCTGAGTTGATACTGTTTTGGGCATTACTCCTCTACTCAACAATTACTTATTTTATGTCTACCATGTTGCTTGACTCAGTTATTCTTGCAACTTACCAGTGAACAAAGAGACAAACATATACGGCCCTTTGAGAACATCTATCAGCAGAGAAAATATGCAATAAAATAACAAACATACAAATTCCATCAAATGCTATAATCAGTGCAATGAGACAGAGTAAAAACAATCTGAAGCATGAGGTAACTAACATAGGAAATTCTTGCAGAGGAAGCAAGTCAAGAGTGCTTAGGGGTCATAAACTTGATTTAAAAAGCACACAAGTTGTCATTTGAGAAGTCCTGAAAGAGGTAAGGAGGGTTGTCCAGGTGAATATCTAGATAAAAATGATTCTAATAAGAGGAAACAAGTTTTTGAGGTGAAATTCCACCTATAAGAATTGCGCACAAAAAGCTTTAATCAGAGGCAGGTGTTGATACAGAGTTAAAAGGTTGCTTGGGATGTTCACATCCTTACAGAAGTGCCTACATTCCAGGACCCCTTGTGTTTCAGATCCAGGTTCCTGCTAAGACACACCATTGGAAATAACAAAAGGTGGATCATGGACTTTTATCTGTGCCACCTAGCTACAAGTGCTGCAATGAGTTCCAGTTTCCAGCTTCAGCTTTGACCTGTCTTAGGTCTTAGCTGTTGACGACCTTTGGGGAATAAAGCAACAGATAGAAGTCATGGCTTCTCTCTCTCTCTCTTTTTCTCTCTCTCCCCTCCCATCCTCCTCCCTCCCTCTTTCTTCCTTTCTCTCTTTCTCCCTTCCTCTCTCTTTTCCTCTCTCTCTCTTTCTCACTCTCTGCTTTTAAATTAATTAAAAATTTTGAACAGACCAAAAGCAATCCATCCATAAGTAAGAACTGAAAAACTGCTGAAAAACGGAAGAATATTTTATTAAGAAAAGCAGTGATCTAAAACACAAATAAATAATCACTGAGAAAAAAGAAACGAGAAAGGATGGGACTCTGAAGAGCATAGTCTAGTATTTGAGATCCTTTATTGCTTGTGGATATTTGCAAATGATGACAGGTTGCTTGAGAAGGTGCTACAAACTTGATGCGTCAAAAGCAGAGAGGGATGAAAGACAGAAACCAGAATCTGTGAAGAACAAACTGAGCCCCAAGTGTAAAAATGATTCGCAAAATTGTACATGATCTCCAGCCTTGCCTCAGGTAACTTAAAATGATTTTGCATGACAAATATCTCCTCAAAACTTACTTTAAATTAAGGTAACTCTTCTTTATTCTCAGTGTCTAACAGAAGCAAAGAAACACTGTTCAGAAGAAAATAATAACACCTGAGGCCTCAAACAATTTTTACAAATAAGTTTTCAGACATAATATCCAAAACTTGATAAGACTATTTCACAAGGAAGCAAGATGATATGGTAATAACAAGCAGAAATAATGTATAAATGAAGCTGAACTATGGGCAATCTGTAAGTTTGCTGTCCTAGAATCAGACTGAAAGCCGAGCATGCTTGCTGCTTTGCTTGCAAGTGTTTTGAGGATAAAATATAAGACCACAACTTGCTACAAGAAAGTAGAAACTATAAAATGGGATGTAAGAGGGCTTGGTGCAGTAGCCTAGTGGTTAAATCCTTGCCTTGCATGCACCAGGATCCCATATTGGCACTCATTCATGTCCCAACCGCTCCACTTGCCATCCAGCTCCTTGCTTGTGTCCCGGAAAAGCAGTAGATAATTGCACAAAACCTTGGGACCCTGTACCCAAGTGTGAGACCTAGAAGTTGCTGGCTTCAGATTGGTTATAGATGGTCTCAGTTCTGGCCGTTGCAGCCCCTGAAGGAGTGAACCAGTGGACAGAAGATCTTTCTCTTTGTCCCTCCTTCTCTCTGTAAATTTGTATTTCCAACAAAAACGAATCTTTTTAAAATGTGATGTAACTGATTTGAAAAAGGAACCATAGGTGCTAACACAAGCGCATGCTTGGAGCATTCAAGTTGTAGCAAGGAGGAAAGCTGGTCTAGGGTAGAAGGAAAAAGGAAGAGTCAAAGAACAGGTCATAGAAGTGTTGGGAGA